ATGGTTTGCTTGGAGTGGATGATCTTCATATTTTCCCCCAGTGCAGAATTTCACGTTGTACCTGTTTCCCCAGGATCTGGAATCTCATATATTAAATTAGCATTTAAACACATCTCCACAGCTTCACAATCTACCATGACCCTCCCCTGTTGCACTTTTTATTTCCCAAGTGTTTTGATACAGGTGAGAAGTTGCAGTACTGCTTGTTAAGTGTAAGTGCTGATATCTGAGTGGAGTAAGAGGTCCAAAAATTGAGACATGCACACAATTCACAGAAGCAGGCACTTGGCTCCTATTGAAACAACAACTTGGATTTATGCCCTTCATGCAAGAAAGCATCTTAGAGCACTGAAACATGTTGTTGTAGCAATTGCCTTTTTAGGTTCCTGTTGGGTCTTTCTGAAAAAGCAGAATTATTATGAGATTCCTCAGGTTTATTCCAATTAAAATTTTAAGCACTCTGAGATACTATCCCAAGTGAATGATGTTGTATAAGACAAGGAATAAGAATGATCCTTGCATTTGACTGTGCCTTCAGCTCCCCTCTCGACTCTCTACCCCCTCCTCGCTCCCTCCCCTCACCCTGACCATTTCCCCCTTGCTCGGGTCCTGACCCACCTGTACAGTGCCTTGGGACGTCCTCCCGACGTGAAAGGCGCTCTATAAATGGAATCTTGTTGTTGTTGTTGTTGTTGTTGTTGCTTTATCAAGTTGTTGAGACATCTCAAAATACTTCACAGGATATACTGTAAAGTGCATTGACTGTGTATTTTGTGGGTGAAACGCAGCAGACAGTTTGAACACTCCAATGTCCCATAAACAGCCATGGTGTGAGCAACCAATTTTCGGGGATTGTTGGCCAGGGCACCAGGAAAAACTCCCTTCTCTTTTCAAATAGTGCCATGGGATCTTTAACGTCCACCTGAACAGGTAGATGGGATCTTGGATTAATGTCTCACCCAAAGGATGTCACCCCCAACAGTGTAATACACCCTATCACTACATTGCAGTGGCAGGATTAGGTGCTAAATTCTAAATATATTTTGCATAAACTCAGCACTGAACAGAGCATTGAACACTATGTGATTTGAAGCCCTGACGTGGGGCTTGAACTCATAACTTTCTGACTCAGAGATAAGATTCCTACCATTACACAAGGCTGACACACAATCGCAACTTCCTGTTGTTAAAACAAAATAAGTTTGTCTTACAAACACTCACTGCCAAAGCTCACAAGTGAACAATGATCACTTGTTCGGAGCATGGTAGGGAAATCAGCACTGTGTAACTGCACTTCAGCATGACGGGGGCAGACCGGGAGTAAAGAGGCATATGACAATGGGAAGAAAATTTATTGGATAACAAATGTGACAGATCACAAATTAAACACACAAGGAGAACTTCACAAAAAAGAAAGGGAAGAGGAAGCATAGTGCAAAGCATGCACTCCATCCATTGATACACCATAGATTGAGTAAAAGTGACGCTCTTTGCATTTAACATGGATGTCTGAATTTAAAAATATTTTTCAAGTGCTATTGTTGGAAAATTGTGACACATCAAATAAAGAACATAATGTACTTATACCATTTACTGAACCAGTCCATTTCATAGCTTTGTATTGTATTATCACTTTAACGGATAATAGAATACAATTTACATTTATATAGGACCTTTCATGTCAGGACAATGTCTCAGGGCTTGTCCCAGCAATTTGGGACATCCTCTCAATGAGAAAGGCACTATGCAAATGTAATTTGTTGCTGTTGTTGTTGTTGTCTCAAAGCATTTGACACTTCTGACTCAATGACAACAACAACAACAATTTGCACTTTTATAGCGCTCTCCACGCAGGGCAGAGTCTCAGAGCGCCCAATCTGGGGGTGGGAGCTGAAGAGAATGGGGAGGAGAAAGTTGATTGATAGCGCAGTCAAAGAGGTACATTTTTAGATGGACCTTGAACGAGGAGAGTGATAATTGATAAGCAAATAATTCAAGGATAATCCTGGATGCAACGGAAATATTACATTTTCTTATCAAAAGATTCCACAGAAATCTAGTAACAAAAAAAAACCAATGAAGGCACTTTTTTCTCCAATACTCCTGCCCTAAACTCTAGTCATTCCCTGAGCGGCAAACAGATTCTATCAACTACCTATTTTAAAACTAGTTTTCGATGTAAATTTGTGATATTCGCTACGTGGATTCATAAATAGCAATTCAGTCACCATAAGCAAATCCAGCCAATAACACACAGCCTTGGAGGAACTTGACAGTCTGCTTCTCAGGGCATCAGAGCAGAGATAAGTGTAACACATTTAATATTACTGCCAGTCGTGTCAGCCTATCTTAGTTAGTTGCACTCTGATTCAGAGGGTTGTGGATTGAAGTCTCACATCGGGATCTGGAACTCACACAGTTAAGATGACACTCCAATGCAGTGCTGGGGGTGTGCGGCATTGTTGGAACTGCCGTCTTTCGGATGAGACATTAAACTGGGGCTCCGTCTACCTGTTCAGGTGGATGTTAAAGATCTCATGGCACTATTCAAAAAGAGAAGAGATTCTCCCAGAGTCCTGGCCACAATTCTCAGATAGAAGTAGTCATACAATTCACGACTAGTTTTATTTGGGGATTGTGGTCACGGATCCTAGTGCGGGAGATGACACGGGCTGCAGAGTTCTGGATGATCTGCAGGCTGTGGAGGGAGGAGTTGGGGAGGCCGACAAGGAATGAGTTTGCATAGTCAAGCCTCGCTATAATGAAAGCATGTATGAGAGTTTGGGCAGCCTGTGGTGTGAGGCAGTGGCGGAGCCGGGTGAAGTTGCGGAGGTGGAGGAAGGCAGAGCGGGTCATGGCGCAGATGTGGGGTAGAAAAGATAGTTGAGGGTCAAACAAGACCCCAAGGTTCCGGACTGGCTCAGTGAGGTGGAGTGTGCAAAAATGGACGGTGATGCTGTCAGCGCCTGAGGTGAGGAGATGCTGACGGGAGCCAATCAGGAGAGCCTCGGTCTTGTTGACGTTCAACTGAAGAAAATTAGCTCTCATCCAGGACTTGATGTCTGACAGACATTCTGTCAGAAAAGCAGTGGTCCTGGAGTCGAGGATGGAGGCAGAGATATAGTTCGATGTCATCCGCATACATGTGGAAGTTGACCTCATGTTTGCGGATCATGTCACCAAGAGGGAGCATATAGATATTGAAGAGGAGGGGACTAAGGACAGAGCCCTGAGGAACGCCACATGAGACGGGGCTGAGGCTAGAGGAGAAGCGTTTGTGGACATGAAGTGGAGGCGGTGTGAGAGGTGTGATCTGAACAAGCCAAGGACAGAGTTGTGAAGGTTGAGGTGAGAGGAGAGGCGGTGGATGAGGATAGAGTGGTCGACGGAGTCGAAGGCACCAGAGAGGTCCAAGGGGACTGCTTCAGGGCTAGGGACAGTATCATAATCCTTGCATTTGATTTTTTTTTGGAGGAAGTTCACTGTATCCTGTTGCGTTAACAAGTTGATTGAAGCTCTGTACAGGATAGTCTGTCTAATACATACATGTAGCAAAAGCTGAGCCACATTGACTGGTTTGCTTCATTCCAATAGTTGGGACTGCCAGATGGGTTACATTACACAGGATTTACTTAGATTTTTTGTTGAGTTACTGTGTCCTTCTAACCAGGGGTCCAATACAAGCCATTATGATGGGAGACAGGAGGCAGGGGCAGACCAATGGACCAGTTGTCTTCAGTTGTTGTAGCGTTTGGCCCACTCCTCAGCAAGGATCATAACCTTTGCCTGTCACTCCCCTGTCAAGCATCACATCACAGGTCACAAGTTGCACTCCATCATTCACAAACTATTGCATCCACCCTTTTTGCATAACGTGGAGCCTGGGAGAGTCACCCAGCACCACAATCTCCTTTTAGTTAATCATTTTAACTCGGCAGTGCAATTCAGTACATGATCAAAGGAACTCTGTAATGGCATTAAAAACACATGTTAAACCTTATTTCAGTCTTTGGTTTGAGCTCCCTGGGACCCTGCCCTGCCCTGCCCTGCCCTGCCCGGCCCTGCCCTGCCCTGCCCGGCGGGGCTCTGTGTAAATGCAAGTTGGTGGTGGTGGTTCAGGGACAGAGAAGGGAGAGAGGACACTTCTGGAAGAGATTTGGTGAGTGTGAGCACTTTTTGTCAGTGTTGGTAAACAATCCAATAAAAGCGGTGATGCTTTTTTCAGGGCACTCCACCCCCACCAAACTGTTTCGGGGGCTGCTGTGGGGGGTGCACGCCCTGCTCTTGGCTTTGAGCCTCTGCACACTTGACTCAACAGCCCGCAGCTCTGTGGGAAACACCTCGCAATGCCGAGGCGTGTCGGGGCTACGTTAGCGTATCGGAATTACACCGCACCTCCCGCTGCAGCCGAACCTGCACCAGAAACTCTTGATGCTCCGACACGGGCTGTGCCGAGGCTCTGCTCTGCTCTGCTCCCGGTTACCTGTTGGTGGAGGAGAATTGTTGTCAGAGCGGATCGGCAGCTGATGCCCTGTGTGGAGACAGACAGACACACACAGACACACACACACACAGACACAGACAGACACACACAGACAGACACAGACACACAGACAGACACAGACACACAGACAGAGAGAGACACACAGACAGACACACACAGACAGACACACAGACAGACACACACACAGACAGACACACAGAAAGACAGACAGACACACACAGACAGACAGACACACACAGACAGACACACAGACAGACAGACACAGACAGACAGACACACACAGACAGACACACAGAAAGACAGACAGACACACACAGACACACACAGACACACAGACACAGACACACAGACAGAGAGAGACACACAGACAGACACACAGAAAGACAGACAGACACACACAGACACACACACAGACAGACACACAGACAGACAGACACACACAGACAGACACACAGACAGACAGACACACACAGACAGACACACAGAAGGACAGACAGACAGACAGCCGCTCGCTGTGAGGTGCGATCACTACAAGCAGATGGACTGACTCCTGTTGGGTTATTACTGTGGCTATATGTCGGCATTAGGCTATTTTCCAACAGTCCTATTGACTCTTTTAGACGTTACAGGTAAGTCCTGGTGTTTAATCATTCAGAGATGCCAACTCCTGCTCTCCTTTTTCCTTCTGCTTTTATATCTGACTTTGAGTGCAAAACTCTGTGGCTGTTTCGTGTTGTCTCAGTCGATTAACACAACTCTGAGCAGTCACCAGGGAGAAGGGTTTGGCAAAAGCGTTGTCATTGCCAGAGGAAGGTACAAGCTGCAGCAAAACACCTTTCTACTTTACCAAATGTTGGTAGATTTACCAGCGAGTGGATTAATAATCCTCCTGTTGCACATTTGTACACAAATTAATCCAAGCTTTGGGGTATTGGGTTGCCAGACCTATCAGCTAACAGTTTTCGCTAAGAGTTTTGTGTAGATGTATATTGTTATTGGGCATCCGATGCTAAGATTATTTGGAATGATTTAATATGTTTGATAATAATCTCCATGAATGCCATTTCAAATGCAAAGGATTAGATTACATGCTGTTACCTGCAATGCCCAAGCAACCACACTCCAGCATTCATAATACAATGTAATAATAATCCTTCCATTTCATATGGAGCCTTTCATGCCAGAAAAATAACAACTTGTATTTATATAGCGCACCTCACGCAGGGTAGAGACCCAGCGCGCTTGACAGTGGCGGAGCACGGTGCCAAGCCGGGACGAGTGGGAGGTGACCGTTGGCACGGTCGAATAGGAAGGTCTTCAGGCGCGACCTGAAGATGGGGAAGGAAGGGGCAAGGGGGAGGGACAGAGGAAGAGTGTTCCAGAGATTCAGGGAATAGTAGCTGAAAGCGCATCCACCAATGGTGAAACAGAGGGCACGAGGTACAGTGTAGAAGGCCAAAGCCAGTTGAGCGGAGGCAACGGGTTGTGGGTAGTGGAGCTAAGCAGGTCGGAGAGGTAGGGAGGTGCCAGGGCGTGAAGGGATTTGAAAATGATTGTGAGGATCTTGAAATCGACCCATTCGGCAATAGGGAGCCAGTGGAGCCTGGCTAGAACTGGTGTGATGGGGGTACAGAGTTTAGTGTTGGTGATTTTGCGGCGGCGGAGATTTGGATCCTGTGTATGGTGGAGCTGGGGAGACCGACAAAGAGGGCATTTGGGAAGTTGTACAGAAAGGCTCTCAAAGCACTTCACAGGATTTACTGTAAGGCGTAATGACTGTATTTGTAGGCGAATGTGGCAGCCAATTTTCATGCAGCAATGTCACACAAACAGCCATGAAATTAAATATTATAGGAATGTGGGAATGTCTGGAAAGGAATGTATCAGAATTATTGTGTTCCAGGAAGCAAAAACATGGCTTTAAATCTAAATATACAAAATGTAAAATTTGACATAGCTATTTTCCTAAATACAGCTTTTGTTTCTAAAGAAAACTGATGGAAAAAGATAGTGGTGTTTATGGATCATTTCAGTGTCAGCGTGGCTCAGTGGTAGCACTTTCACCACTGACTCAGAAGCTTGTGGGTTCAAGCCCCACATCGGGAAATTTGATCTCATAGTCTAGATTGACACTCCAGTACCATGCTGAGGGAGTTTTGCATGATCACATGTGCCATCCTTTGGACGAGACATTAAAACAAGGTCCTGTCTTCCTGTTCAGTTAGTCTTTAAAGATTCCATGGCACTATTTGGAGATCCTTCAGTTCTCTAGATAAAATTGGCCATTCACTTCATACCTGTTTACAGGACATTGCTCTGCACAAATTAGGAGCCATGTTCGCCTATAAAATACACATTCACCATGCTTTACAGAAAACCATGCAAAGTTTTCAGACATTACAACATGATAAGGCACTTTCTGACCACAGAAAAATCCCTTTTTGCATTGAGAATTGATTTGGTCTTTTCATACCATCTTAAACGATCTCAGAATATAAACATTTCTCCAGTCCTGAACAATAGAATTTTAATTTGTATTAACATACATTTAGCACCTTTCGTGTCAGGGGGACATCTCACAGTCCAAGCACTTGTTAGCATTTTGCAATATGCCACCCTGCACATGATGGAGGGAGCTCACACTCAGAGCTGCTGTGGGTCACTTGGCATGCAGTTAAGCAGGTTTATCGTAACAATGGAGAAAAATTTAGCAAGAATGGAATGAAAAAAGATAGTTAAGCAGATAGATGGATATAAGGCACAATAAAACTGAGACGAACAGAGGGCCACAGAAATCATAAAATATGTCTGCATTATTCTGCTTAGAAACAGGTAATTTGGCACATCAAGTCTGCAGTGGTGTTGTTCTCCACATGAGACACCTCATCTCATCCCATTCTCTTGTTCGCTTCCTGTGTTGTAAAACACATGCAGAGGGTACATTCTGCTAGTCCTGTAAACGGACTAAGTTAGCTTTGGAGTATCAATTCCAGCCTTGATCTGAGGAGTAAGATACTGTCTGGAAAACAGATGAAAGAAAGAACCTGCCGTTTTATAGTGCCTTGTCACATTGAAACATATCAAAGCACTTCACAACTCTTTATCATCAAGTGTAGTGACTCCACTGCACTAGAGTGTCTGAGGGGCTGACTTATAGTGGAGTGTAAACTATTATCTGTCTGTCTGTCTGTCTGTGGAAACTCAAAACATATTTAAAAAGATGGGTTTCAATGACCACAATGAGATCAAAGTCTTGTTTATTCAACCGCTGGATTAGATTATGACTTGAAGCCAAGTTAAAACAATAACCACCATTAGCAAATAAACTGCTAGAAATATTCCTTTCAGCACATTGAATGTTCTTGTTAAATAAACCCTCATGGCTTCCCGATATGAAAGGCGCTATACAAATGTAATTTTGTTGTTGTTGTTAACTGCCAATTTGGTTTAGTTCATAGCACTCTCACCTCTTGAGTGAGAAAGTTATGTTGCAGGATTAGAGCTCTCAATCAAGGCTCACTCGCCAGTGCAGTACAGCGGGGCAGTGTCGCATTGTCAAGAGGTACTGCTCTCAAGTGAGTTGTCCAAATGAAGGTCTTGTCTACCTGTTTTCAGGAGACATTGAAAGATCCCATTGACAACAACAACAAATTACATTTGTAAGGTTAGGGACAGAGAGGCTGAAGGACCGACTGCCAATGGTGGGGTAGGTCGGGCAAGGAAAATGGAGCAGGCCGGAGCCTGGTGAGCGGAAGTAGCAGACCAGTTGATATGGCACTGTTGAAAAAGAGAAGGAAATTTCTCCAGGTAACACTACTTCACATGTAGGGCGATATATAAATGTTTTTGTTGCTGGTGCTCGTGCTCCGGTCAACAATTCCTCAGACTTTGTGGAGTCCTGTAGCTCAGTGGTTAGAGCACTCGCTTTGCAAGCGAGAGACCTGAGTTCAATTCCAGGCAGAGGGCGAAACCTTGGGCAAGTTTCCTTACTCCACACGCCTAATAATAATCCCTCCAAAACCAAAAACAATAATAAATTGGTCATTTTCAATCTACGACTGTTTGTGGGACATTGTTGTGCGCAATTGGCTGCCGCGTTCGCCCACAAATATACAGTCAATTCACTTTACAGTGTGTTCTGTGAAGCGCTTTGGGACGTCCTCCCGACGTGAAAAGCGCTATATCAAATGCAAGGATTATTATTATTATTAGACACAGCACACAACAGGCTTCATTATGAACACAACATTGAAAATTGCCCTCCCTTTATCAGTAAGTGCTCTGGGACTATACTCTGTCTAAAGGGCATTATATAAATGCAAGTTGTTGTTGTAAGTGCATTGATTTTTGATGTTGTGTTGAGCCTGACTGTATTGAGAAATCTCATTCTATGCATGCATAAAAAAAATTGGCCAATGACCAAGAAACGGAGACACTCCATTAGCTGGTATTTATATAGCACCTACTGAAGGATAATAAAGTCTCTCAGTGTTCTGCATTCAAAACACTGTGGTAGTGAGGAAATATTATATTACATACATTACAATCGTTCAGCCTGTCACGCACGTTCTGAGCTTGGAACAACAGCTGCTGGAAGGTGTTACCCAGAATGGTTTTGTAAATATCCGTTCATATATTTAGAGTTTGGAATCCATCTTGATTGTACAGTGCTGCTGAAGCTTAACCACACACTTCCAACTAATGGAACCATTGCTCAGTGGGTTGTGGTGTGTGTCTATGCTGTGAGCAGGAGGATGGTAACAATTCTGTCCTGCATTTCATGGTCCCTGCTATCCAACTAGTGAGGGCTCAAGCATGTAATTGCCGATTGTCTAAATTAAATTGAAGAAGCTTACCTATGATGAGAGGCTGGGTAAACTGGGGTTAAATTTCTTAGAGCATAAGAGGTTTTAGAGTTAATTTGTATGGTATTTAAAATACTGAAAGGAATTAGCCAGTTAGTAAGTGGATGACTCTTTCCTCTGGTAGAGAAATCCATTACATGGGGGGGGGGGCAGAGCCTTAATTAATTAAAATGATATAGCACCTTGCCATGATGTTGATATCTCAAAGTCTTCACAGAATATACTGTAAAGTAGATTGACTGCATATTTTGTGGGCAAAACATGGTAGCTAGTTGTGAACAACAATGTCCCACAAACAGCCATGGAGTGAATGATCAATTTTATTTGGAGGATTCTTGGCCAGAACACTGAGAGAAACCCCTTCTTTTCTCCAATAGTGCCATAGGATATTTAACATCCACCTGAACAGGCAGATGAAACCTTGGTTTAACATCTCATCCAAAGGACGTCTCCTCCGACAATGCAACAAACCTCAGCGTTACATTGGAATGTCAGCTTAGACTACGTGGTTCCAAGTCCTACCATGGAGTCCTGTAGCTCAGGGGTTAGAGCACTCGCCCGGCAAGCGAGATACCTGGATTCAATTCCAGGCAGGGCGAAACCTTGGGCAAGTTTCCTTACTCCACACGCCTAATAATAATCCCTCCAAAACAAAACAATAATAAATTGGTCATTTTCAATCCACGACTGTTTTTGGGACACTGCTGTGCGCAATTGGCTGCCATGTTTCGCCCACAAATATACGGTCAATTCACTTTACAGCATATTCTGTGAAGCGCTTTGAGATGTCTGGAAGATGAGAAAAGCTCTATATCAAATGCAAGGATTATTATTATTATTATTATTATCACATAGATTATGTCGCCAAATCTGACTCAGTGTTCAGTATCCCAGCCCACCCCCCCACCCTCCCCCCGCTTTACTCAGTGAAATTGCAAACAGAAACTGCTTCTGTGAGTTCTCAACAGTTGATACCAGAGACTTGAAGGTATGGGAAGGGATTTCCACACATGTCAGACTTTTGATTAACAGAACAACAGTACAGAACAGTATCGCAATACTGATTAGGTTATGTCACTCACTGTTTTTCACAATCTTATAACATTTCATATAGCTCATTAGGAAACATGGGAAATTAGGAACACGAAGAGAACATTCAGGAGTCTGTTCCACCTCATTTATTAGAGTTTTTTAATCCCAATAAAAAAATACTGCAAATTAGAACCCATTATTATAAGGAATGATGTCAGGTAGTGAGAGACCATCAGGTTTAATGAAATTGTCTACTTTCGATGCCGTTTGACGCACTGGTTGCAGAAAATTAGGGTGAACATAAATAGTGTGCAGCAACAGTTAAAGTTATCACATTAAGCAAATACAGTATTTGGAATTCTCATTTGGCAGAATAGAATTGCCGTTTATAAAAAAAGGCATTGTTTTGTGAGTCCTCACACAAACCAAGACTTGCAGCAGAGAATCCTGTGCATTCTCACGTACATTTAGTACCCACATATGCTGAGAGGAGACAGTTGTAGCAGTGTGAACGCAGTGTGTACTAACCACAATTACTCCCACACTGAACCCGCGAACACTTTCCATTCCTCAAGTTGCTGCTCGATAGCCTAAAATAAGCAAAACCACCAAATGAATGTCAATTAGTATTTATATTGCATTTTGTCTTCACTGGTTTCTGGACTTGACAGGTCTTTAGACTGTCAGCCTCTCCGCACTCTTCTCTCACTGGCTCCTTCACCTCACAGTTCTTTATTCGGCAGACTCTTCCTCTCTGAGCTTGTCTCTCTGGTGCTGCAGGTTTGTTTTGTCCAATTGCCTAAAAGTTACTATCCATCCTGACATTTATTTTGGGAGATTATAAAATCAAACAGTGTATCCAGCCGAGGGTAAAAACTTTACACCACTGACTGCGTTCTTAATGCATGAGAAAAATTAACCGGCCTAATATTATCCCTTGCATGCTTATCTTTGTGGAAGTATCTGAGCACAGATCTCGGTAAGTTTCCTCTCCCTTACCCTTAAACAAGTTTTGGCAAACAATCTTATTTGAAGGCATTGTCCCTTTAAGTAAAACAGCAGTTGTAAATGCAGTATAGAGCAAGTCAAATGTGACAGGAGAGGAGAGAACAATATTCTTCGAGCACTTCACACAGTTAGATCAAAAGCACAAGTAATGGACTGTGCTGCCAAGAAAGAAATCACTTTCTGCAGCCAAAAGGAAGCAGGCTTAGAACATTTCAAACACTGTTGTTTGGGGGCCTATTTGTTCTTTTAAGAGGCAGACAGTCCTTGAATATGATGCATGGCTTATTGCACTTGCTGTTAAAGTCATTCAGTTTGAACAAGGGATAATGCTCCTTTCAAAGAACTCAATGAAGGCAGGCACAGAGTGTTGCTTATTTTTATTCGGTCAAGTTTAGTTTCAGGCTAAATTTCACGTAAGCCATTAATAGGTTGTGCTTACCACCCCTCTGCATTATTATTAGATCAACTCCAACATCTTTTATCGGAACATGAAAATAGGCTGTTGTTTCTCTGTCATTGCTACTGTGTGTAAGTAGCATGGGAACCTTCACAGTAACTTATCAGATAGGCCTCCTGTCGCACCTGTAGCACCATTGTATGAAGGACAGAGGTTGCAAAACTGGCCACAAGGTAAATGGCAGATAAAGATGCTCGGTGATTTGATCCCTGGCATTCTTTGAATGATCAAGTTATATAGAAATATATTGGATAGATAATTAACTGAAGGAAGTTTGAAATGACACCACTTAAAGGTGCACTGCCTTTCATGGAAAGGTGTTTGTAATTTTATTTATTATTTGCTGACACATAAAATACAGTAAATCTCATCATCATCACGGACATATTGTTGAGATGAAAACAGCAATTGGCCATCAATTCTTCTGGTCTTTCTCCTCAAGAAGAAAAGATTTTCCAAATACAGTACCTTTTTTNGAAAACAATATTTCATGGTAGATTCCATAGTGAAGTTCACCTGTTCAGGTGGATATTAAAGGTCCCATTGCACTTTTCGAAAAGTGAAGCTTCTTCCAATGTACTGGCCAACAATCCCCCGGATAAAACATCGGTCACTCACTTCACATCTGTTTGTGAGACATCATTGTGCACAAATTAACTGCTGTGTTTCCCGATAAATACAATCACCACACTTTACAGAAAAACTATAGTTTTTAAAGTACATGATAAATTATTCTTGATAAAGTCCTATACCTTTATTATTATTCAAATAATAATTGAAATAATTAAACAATTATTATTTATCATTATAAAATAATAATGATTATTATTTTTTAAAAACTGCATGCAATAGATCCTAATAGATCTGAAAGGAACAGTAAAAAATGCTTAGCCCAACACAACACCATGTATTGACACTAACTAATAAAACTATTGCATACCGTTTTGCTTTTCTGTTAAATGAAAATAATGCCTAGGTTTAATTGTATTTTTACTGTATTTAACAAGTAAAAAAGGAACGATTTTGAAATGAATATATCAACCTAGGGTTAATCCAACACAATACCAAAGGACAAGGATAAAGGCAAACTGTAACTGCCTGACCATACAAGCACAATAGATTTTGTAAGCAAGTCATCTTTAACTTGTATCTTAAAATATGCATGACTCTTGCTGGGACTAGTAACTAGCCAATATGAGAAAGATATGTGAAAAAGACCATTCTTTATGTTGCCATTTTGAGCAGTAAGCATGTTCCTAATTAAAACTGGATGGGTTACGATCGTAATGGAGCTCAGAGTTATTGTGGAGTCCAGTAGCTCAGTGGTTAGACCACTCGCCTCTCAAGCGAGAGACCTGGGTTTGATTCCCAGCACGGCAAAACCTTGGGCAAGTTTCCTTACTCCACAAACCTAAGAATAATCCCTCAAGAAAATAAACAATAATAAATTGGTCACTTCAATCCGCGACTGTTTGTGGGACACTGCTGTGCGCAATTGGCTGCCGCATTTTACCCACAAATATACAGTCAATTCACTTTACAGTATATTCTGTGAATCGCTTTGAGACGTCTGTAAGACGTGAAAAGCGCTCTATCAAATGCAAGGATTATTATTATTATTCAGCCTCTGGTTATAGATGGAAGTTTGGCATGAAGGCTATTAAGAAAGTTACCTATAGACATGATGTTCTAAATGTCTTGTTCCTTCTAATAAATATGAAAGGGGAAATTAGTTAACAAAGGAACAACTTGATTAATATCAGCATTAGAGTAATACATTCTAACAAGATTTCTTTCTAATTCCTATTCTGGCTAAACACACAAAACCTGGAACTTAATGCTTGCGACACAAAGTCAAAGAATGTGTCTTGTCACTGCAAAGGTTTATTTTGTGGTTAACGTGTAATTTAAATATATTATAACAATATTTAACTTGGATTTATATTTTCAGACATCCTGTAGCTATTTTTAAACTGAAGTTTTATATTTTAGTAGAACATGTTTTTTAATCTACATCATTCTTAAAAACGTTTTATTTGAAATTTAATTTATTATATGCATTGAAAGAAATTTTTGAAAACAATCTAAACCTAGGGTTACTCTGAGCCACCTCTCTTTTATTTAACTGCTAATGTTTTGTTCACATTGGTTTAATGGCATGGTTGATATCAACTCATTTATAAATAGCTGACTCTCAACAGCGTCATTTGGCATTGATTTCAAACTTAATAACAATAGATAATAATCCTTACATTTGGTATAGTGCCTTTCACACCAGGAGCACATCCCAAAGCACTTTACAGGATATACTATACTGGAAATACTGAGATAATGATCAGTATCAGGTTGGGTGAAAAACTCCTATTTGCCAAAGAATGGCCAATTTATCTATAGTTTAGTGTAACTGAATGTCAACAACGTTATTTTATATTGAAGGAAATGTGACAAATGAATGGTTTTGAAGTTGTCTCAGAAAAACTAGAAAGGGTATCTAATCTCGCTTCTTGGATTTGTCAAGATGTGAAGAGCACAATCACTTACTAATAATCCTTGCATTTGACATAGCACCGTATCATGTCTTCAAGGCATCTCAAAAGCTTCACAGGATTTACTGTGAATTATACTGACTCTGTTTGTAGGTGAGTACAACAGCCAATTGGCCACAGCAATGTCCCACAAATAGCCACAAAGTAAAATCCTATCTGTCTTTGATACGCAGCCCTAGGAATGGCTTCAGGTAGTTTCATTAATAGTGACTATCCTTCTGGGGGTGGATGGATGGTGGTGGACAAGGTTCTTTACGCATGAGTTGGCTCAAGATTAATATCTCAAGAATAAATTGGATATCTAAATTGAATCAGTCCTCTGTGTTAGTCTCAATAATCTGGTTCCTGAGCCAGGTGGGTCTGCAGTAATCCACGCTACTACTGTTGACAGACCAGCTAGTCTGGATTGTCAGCATGCTTTAGAATAGCAGACCAGTCAATGGATCTAGGGATACTTTCCACTTCCCAAAATCCTATCAGAATTCTAGATAGACAATTTGTAGGTGAAACTGGTTGAAATATCTGCAGAAATAATTAGTTGAAACTAACGGTAAGTGGTATCGTATCTGTAGATCAGTGCATCTTTAGGATAAATTTTGTTAGATCAAAGACTTTAAGAATTCTGATATTGCTGTGTGCTTCAGGCATGCTAACAGTCTTGCTTTCTGTTTTTTTAGGGATTCTCAAGGGAAGTACATTGCCTGCACCAAGCAATGTGCGTTTTTTATCCAAAAACCTGCAGAATGTTCTACACTGGAAATCACCTGAAGAGAACGAAGCAAGGATGTGGTACACTGTGCAGTATAAAATGTAATGATTGCTGTCATTCTCCATCTGCTACTTTATTGTCTGTAGCTTGTACCAGTCCCTAAAGTGAGGATAGCTATAACCAATAGGCAGCTTTTCAGTGTGATGCAGAGCCTTCTTGTAGCCATACAGAGGCATCTTCTTGTAGCCAGCTCAATGTCTAGGTAGGACTAAATACATCCAACCAGCAGAAGAGTTGATAATCCTCAGGAATGTGAAAACACGCCTATGGGTTCAAAGGAACAGACTCAACAGACTCAGTGGCCCATCAGCCTGCTTTGATCCTTAGGACAGTTGACTGCTGATTCCACCTGCCCACCCCGCACACCCCCACCACCCCCACCACCAACTACACACACAAAAAGATAAAAACATATGATCCTTAGGAAATTGAAAAAAAATCTTTACACAACCATTCAATTTCTGCAGGGCTTCAAATAAGAATCTATTAAAACAAATCTAAGTATAATGTGTCTTGCTAATGCTCCCTTTATACAAAAACTATGATTTTCAAATGCAGGGCCAAGATTGTTGAAAAACAATTTAATTGTTGATTTCCTGTTTGTGGCAATGCTCATCATGATTAGAGATACTGGCGTTGGAGAAAGATTTACTTTTCAAACTCATTGTCAGCATCAAGTGCACCCAGACAGGCACATGCCTTAATTCAAAAACCCCTCTTTGCGCATTAATGTCTCAAGATGAAATGGAATACCTAAATTGGTCCAATCCTCTGAATTCAAATTCAATTACCAAAAGTGAAAAGCTTCACTAACCCAGTTACTCACTAGATTGAATGTAGTGGGTTAGTTCAGAAAAGTGGCTGCTTGTTTCATCTCAGTAAGTGGAATCCCTACGGACTGTGATGAATTCAGGTGATCTGTTTACCACACTTGATGATATATTATGCAAATGTCCATTTCTGACCAATTTGTGTCAGAACTGTTTGATTGAATTACATTCCCAACAGTTCATCTCTGAGTTCTACATTTTTAGCTTCAGAAAATAGACCTAAAGCAAAGATTTGCAAAACCACCGCTTTGATGGCATGGTGGAGCTTTAGTGAAAGGCACGCTGAGAACGCTTTGCTACAGGAAAGCAAATGTGACCGCAGCAAAATCATCCGTGTGCTAGATTACGCTATCTTTTTGATGGAGTTCAATAAGACGCACTAAGGCTTCGATACACAAAGGTATATAAAGGTAAACCACAGATGTTCAGGTGCAGGCTCTTATCAAATAGTTATCTCAGTTTAACCACAGTTCATAGCTCAAAGACTGTTCACACAGTATGTGCTCTACTTTTTCATGTGAATTTATTATGCCAGTGGTTTATTTGCTATTGTTTGGCACGCACATAGTTTTGAACTTGATTACAGCACTTCCAGAGAACCATCTATCGGACAAATTACAGTAAACTCCTTATAACAAGATGCAAAATACTGCAGATGATGGAAATCTGAAACAAAAGCAGAAGTCGCTGGGAACACTTGACCTGCCGAGTGTTCCCAGCAACTTCTGTTTTTGTTCCTTATAGCAAGACCCAGGCTTAACTTGTCACTACCACTTAAAAAAGCCATGCAATCAATATCCCAGCCTTTTCCCATGCAACAAGTTAATAAGGGACTCCACTTTACTGGTCATTCGTCTTAATACGTAACAATGGGATGTCGCTCAGCGCGGAGACCACTTTATCAATGCAAGATGTTGTTGTTGTCACATTCTAGAAATTCTTGTAACTCCTTATAATGTAAAATTGATCGGAAAATTTGTCCGAAAAGATGGCATCTTACATCGCAGCTATCTCCCGCCCTATCCTGTAACTGATGCAGGTGATCGACAGAGGTTGGGCACCCATGCTCAGATGCATTGGAGAGGCCTCTGGTCTATTGAAGGGCTATTCTGGCACTCATAGAAATGTCACAACAAAGGAGGTAGTAACGTGAGAATAAAAATGTTCAAACTGTCCTCAGTTCAGCTGCTCTATAATCTGCATGATCAATGTGGTGCATATTTAAAATGAATATTTGTAATGTTTACACAAGATCATAAGATTGATACAGATGAAGATCGTTCATCCCATTTCTTCCAGATGTGCATTCCCATCACAGCGTCAAGCTGTTTGTTAAATGAATCCAGTGTCGTAACCTCAACTACTTTTTCTTGGTAGCTCATTCCAATAATTAATTACCATCTGCGTAAAAAAACACTTCCTGGTTTCTGTCCCAATACGGTCCTTTGTAACTCTGAATCTATGTCGTTTGATTGTGCTGTCTCAGTGTATCCAAAAGTATTGTTCTCCTCTGTACTGCCTCTAATGCCTGGGCAGTCCCGTTAAATTGCAGCCGTTGTAACTGTAACACTACTCTAGGTGTAGCCTGCCCAGAACACTATAAACTTGAGTATGAAAATATGGACTCAATTAATTTGGCAATGTAACCCAGCATCCTGTTTGCCTTGTTTGCAATCCGAGACACTACACTGCATGCATGATTAGTGCTTTATAGATTCAAGTTGTTGTAGTGTATTGTTACCACAAACTGTTTTAACATGGTGAGCGATAGTCAGAGGTATTTAAATACTTGCAGTCATTGGTGTATAATTTGAACCAAAGTTGTGCAGACCTGCTGATTATTGCTAATTAGATGGTGTGGATTAGTTGTTACAGCGTTAATATTAGTTGGATTCTGCACTGTAGGATCAGCACAATGGGTCAAATGGACTCCTCTGTTTAAACTTTCTATGATTCGATGAAATTGATGGCCCTTTTTTAAAAAAAATCCAATACAGATATGGAGAATCTTGGAAGGACAAGATAGAATGTCAGAACATTACCAAGACATACTGTGACCTCTCCAGTGAGACAGAGGATTACGACGATTACTATTATGCCAGAGTAAAGGCTGTTTCAGGAGCAAGTTTTTCAGATTGGAATCAAAGCAGCAGATTCAATCCTAAAGGGGAAAGTAAGTATAAGAATAAATATGTAATCTTGCTACAAATGATTATCAACCATGGAAGCTGATCCGAAATTTACGTGAGCGATTCTCCGTTTTAATGTGAAGAGGTTTAAGTGCGAGGTTTAATTGTTGCCAGATGCTTTTGAGCTTGTTACGGTTACGGACTAAACCTGCATTGTTCTACCGGAACAATATGTTTCAAGACAGCAGGCTAAAGGCACTGATATTAAACAAAACGTATAGATGTTATTTGGAAATGCCTGTATTGGGTGAGTGTGAGCATTTAAAAGGCATAATTAGGAAACTCTGCATGACTGAAATGTCAGCCGGTGAGGTGTTACATGTTACATATCTATATTTATTATCTTTCAGCAAATATTAGTGCTCCACGTGTATATGTCGAAGCCACTAACTGTTCCATTGCCATTACATTTATTGGACCCGAAATATGGAAGAGCAACAACCAGACTCCAGTCAACCCTTCACTTATTGATATCTTTGAATTGAAATACAATGTGTCGATCTTCAACAAAAACAGTAAAAAAACAGTAAGGATCTCATGTTTTATTGGAATCAAAGCAGCTGTAAAGAGTGAAATGGATGTCAGAGAACAATCACTTATATAGAAACAATTATTTGGGAATATTATATTTTCTCTAATTAGTCTTTTTGTACACAGTATATAGTTGTGTAATTGTGTTCCCCCCATCCAGACGAGCTTCCTGCAAAATGCTTACAACAATAAACGACTTGAGGATTTGAAATGTGACACCACTTATTGTGTAACAGTCAGATCGTTGACGGACTTCATTAACAAACAAAGTGAACCTTCTGAAATGATGTGTGTAAGGACTCCTAAAGGTGAGGGTGTCATTTCAAACCAAAAATAATCAAATTAACCAGCTCCAAATTACGTTGTGCCATTGTATTGTCAAAGGTGCCATCGTTTGGACGAGACATCAAACTGAGAGCTCGTCTGCCTCTTCAGGTGGTGTTCAAGATCTGTAGCATTTGAAAAACGAAGGGAATTTCTCCCAGTGTCATGCCAACAAATCCACTAGTTAAAATTAGTTATTCATGGTTATTTCTGAGATATTGCTTTGCATAAATTAGCTGCTGTGTCTGCCTTTCACTTTGCAGTAAATCCTGTGAAGCACTTTGAGATGTTTTGATGATGTGGATAAGCTGCTATAAGAAGTGCAAGAAACATATTACTGTAATGTTATTCGATATATAGTTTTATTTTGGTCAGTTGGGTGTCTGACACACATGGAAACCTATCCCATACTTAAGAGTATTCATACCAAACTACTGAGAACTCCACGCAGATGGTGACACTGTTTCATTAGTATTACATTCAGTAGTCAAAAACTTAACCTCAATTGTATTTGTTGCTATTCTATTTCTTGCATTTTTTTGCCCACAAAACACACAATCACTGCATTTGCAATGTATCTTGTGAGCACTTAGGAATGGCTTCTTGACGTGAAAGGAGCTATACCAAATTTAAAGATTATTATTATTAGTATTATTACCGTCATTTAGAGGTTGGAGGGCATTTAAAAACATATTTTAACATGATATCGTATGGCACTGTGTTTAGGAATATCACCATTTTCGTTGTGTTATCTCCGGCAATATTAAAAATATGGTTCACAATTCACCAGGAAAATCTGTTAATGAAAGGCTGTACTTTTACTTTTCTTAACTGGACAGCCAACTATTTATAGAAATGTCTCAAATATGACAGTAATAATAACATTCCTTGCATTTGATATAGCACTTTATCACGTTGTCAAAATATCTCAAAGTGCATCACAGTATTTACTGTAGAGTAAAGTGATTATATATTTTATAGGCAAATCTTATCTTTGAATTTATGTAGCATTGTTCAACTGCACTGTCACAAAATAAGTACTGAATTGCTCACCCAAAAGAATATTTAAGAAAAATACAGCAATTGAACACTAAAACAAATGTAATAGAAGCAAAAATCTTCTGTATTATTCAAGATCTCGAACTGAAGGATTGGTGAACAAGGTGCTTTGACTCAACACCAGAGAACATTAACATTATTTTCCTAATTTTGTTTTCACAGATCATGCAACAGAAATAGTTATCTTGGTCATATATGGATGTGTTTTACCAGTCTTAATTCTTGTTTCTGTGTTTGTTTTTTGTTGCTGTGTCATGTACAAATATGTGTATAACAGCAATCAGAAACAACCTTTAAATCTGGTGAGTAACTCCTTGCAGCTTTTTCCAATATTATACTGTTTTGAAACCCCACTGAAGTGCATAGAAAGTGTCATTAGAAAGAACAACAAGTTACATTGGTATTGAGCCTTTTAAATCGGGACAACATCCTAAGGCGGTGGAATGTTAAGGATTTGGATCCAAGCTGTGGGTTGGGATCAGAAAGGGTGGAGGTCAGGGATAGAAGGGTGACCAAAAGAGGAGAGTCTTAAGATGGGCCTTGAAGGAAGTAAAGGAGGGACTATGGAATATTAAAAATATGGTTCACAATTCACCAGGAAAATCTGAGCAAAGGGACTATGGAATGGAGTTCCAGAGGGTGTGGGCAGAAAGGCTGAGGGCCCGATAGCTGATAGTGGGGCGGGCTGGACGGTGAAGGTGGGGGAGGGATTGGAACAGGCCGGAGCCCGCTGAGTGGAGGAAACGGACAAGTTGTCAAGGAGTAGGAGGTCACAGAGCTAGCGAGGGGCAAGACCATGGAGGGCTTTGAAGGCAAGCAGTGGCAGCAGGGGGAGCATGGAGGGCAGCAGCAACCTGACAAGCTGGAAATCAGCCTTTTATTGTGCTTTGTTTTATGCAGAGGTCTGAGATTATGGATCAGCCACAGGGGTATGCCATATAAATTTATTGTATGTTTAAAAAAAAGTTTAGCACTTTCTTTGTGCACATAGTATTGCTTTAAATACCTCCACCTAGAAAGTTAATGTTTATATTAAAAGCACTCTGGGAATCAAAGGTCATCTTATATTTGATCATGAGAGTTGAAAAGTGCAGATCGATTAAGTCAGTAGGCAGAATTGTCACAGGTGGAATTCGATGTGACTAAGTGTGAAGTACAATAATACACTTTGGATGAAAATAGGAAGATAAGAACATATCTGTCTCAGTGGGGTAAATGGATAAGGAGAACATTTTCCACAACTCTTGAACATTTCCATTAACATTTTCTCTTATCATTTCCTCAAATTTTCTGATGGGAAATAGTCTATCTAAAATTACTTTAAACATTTGACTCCTATAATTTTCAGCACTATAATCTCATCAAGAACCTAGAGTATGGAGCATTTACAAAAGAGTTGGGAATATTTGATCCATGATGTTTTTCATTAGATTGAATAAGGAGTTGGATCTGAAAATTATATTTGTCATTTTTACATGTTTTTGAATATTTTATCTGGAAAAATGTCAGTTAACCTTTGGGGCTTATGCTTGCAATGGATTACTATTTGCCTCAGAACTAAAGTTCACATACAAAAGCATTCCATATCCTTGAAGTGGTACCATCTAACCTTTCATGCTTTGATAAACACAATCAAAAAACAAATTGGGCCACACACAATATCTTGTCACAACTTATTTTCTTTCTTCCAGCTTCTCCAATATCATCAACCAAATAGTGCACTTGTAGTTCTTCCACCTGAGCTGCTGAACATTAATATTCTTGTTCTCGAAAATGAGAGGAAAATGTTGTCACATGACTGCTTGGAAACTGAGGATTGCAAAGTCTCCCTACTGTCCCAGTGCAGCACCGAGTGTCCTGATAAAATGAAGACAAAACATTTGGCAATAGACAATGGCAAAAACATGTACATGTCTCAAACTATCCAAAATTCATCATTAGAACACAGTGGAGATCGCCAAGATAGCAGGCAAAGTAATGTTCAGCCTCAACAAAATGATTATCAGACCCAAACCCATTTATTAAATAGAGGCGATCCACAGAGTAAAGTTGAATATGGAGTAATTGTAATGGAGAAAAGAGATCACACACAAGAGTCACAAACCATACAGATACCTGCTGATGAACATGAGGAAGTACTGAGTGCTGGCTATAAGTCAAGGCTACCTTTACAGCCTTTAAGGCAAGGAGTTTCACAGCGTGATATTGAATATGGGTTTATTACAATCATCCCAAGTATTAGCCAACAATATAAACAGGACGTCCATCTACGAGTGAGGGCGACTGAGAAGCCAAAGAGGACTAGTTATTTGCCATATCTACTCCCAAACAGCCAACGTGGAGAGACTGTATGGAGAAGTACCAAATGTGCAAGAATTGAATCAGCGAGCAATGCTGACTCACAAGAAAATGTTTATCTGCCAAAGGTGTACCCTCAAGAACCAGAACAAAATCATTATCGGTCACAGTTTCACCCGCAGCCGCTGGTTGGAGAGGCTCCATGGAACAGCAAAACAGTTTGTCCTATTGAAATAGATGACAGCCAGCATCTGCTGAATGAAGTGTACCAGGCCAACGAGGAATCAGAGTCAATAATATTAGATTGGGATCCTGACACTCGCAGGCTGGTGATACCTGCACTCACTGCTGAAGCAAATTCAGGTGGTAATGGTTATTTGCCCCAAATACAGGAGCTAGAGATTGATCTTTTGTCTTCCGTGTGTACAGAGAAATCTAATTCTCCAGGCACTGAATATGTTGATATATCGCAATTCCAGAGAAATTGGGGACTGCATGTACAAACATAGTAAGGAGCTGACATCTTCTGGCTATGTTGCCTGTGCTTTAACTACTCAGATTTCAATTAACTTTGTGTAGTTTTCTTGTAATCTCACCAGAAAATTCACCTCTTGAGCCTGAGAAAGAGAAATAGTGAATAGAATCTGCATCATAGCAGCTGCAAAGACTTGCTTTAATGTTTTTTGTTCGCCTAACTGGGCCCTCCAAGGTCTGAGCGTTAAGAGGATTGGGAGCACAGTAACATGTGGGTTTCGACTGTATGTTGCAGGACCCTGGGCCTTCCTCTGTCATTGCTAGGATCAGTGCGCAAGGATCAATGTAATTGATCACAATTGGTTAACCGTCAGATAACAACCGTTTGTTAACGGACACCAGTAAAATTATTAGCCAATGTTCAATCCATTCAACTAAAGTTGGCAATGAAAACAAGACATTGATGATCTTAATACAACTGAAATAAATTTGAAAGGAAAGTTGTTTAAAGAGGACATGATCTTTTAACTACATGAATTTGGTGAACCGTATTTCATGTATTCCAGTGTTGTGAAGCTTCAGATGGAACACGATTGCATTATCAGGTGAATTGGTAGCATTTGAAGTTATTGCATTAGAAAGATGTACATGTGCTTCAGCTGTTCTTTGTCACCAACAACAAAGATGATAATTAACCAGGCTAAATGCATTCTTGTTCATGTTACAAAGACAGTGTTTAGGTACAGAAAATTTTATTTTTATGTTATTAGAATTCTTGAGATTTTTAAATGCTTGATCAGCATGTATTAAAAGTATGATAACTAATGCAGTTTTTGCATCATTTTCACATATCACACCACTACTATGGTTCAGTGTGCTATCCTCCTGATTGGGGGGATGGGGGGGGGGAAACTGGGGTCTCCTTTGGGATGAGCAACCGCCTGTGGCGGTCTCGTAATTCCAGGCAGGTCCACATACTCATTGACATACCAGCCAGCCTGGTTTTATGAGAATAAATTTCCGACATTTTTAGTGCTGTCTGTTTTTGTGTGTTGACATATTGTAACATGACAAGACTTGAGCTGCTTGTTTTTCTTCCCCTTTCCAAGAAAGAGGCGAGTGTCACCTTAACGTTTCATAGAATAGCACCTACTCACAGCTCCAGCAGAGAAAATGAAACCTTTCAGGGGAGTAGCAGGAAAGCACAATTGAAACTGACACCTTCCTATTTAGTGGAATCCACACATTATTTCATTATAGAATTTATCCCTTGCTCTGTCTTTAACAGAGTTTATTAAAGGAAGTGTAGATAACTTGAATCTAATATGTAAAGGTTACTCATTGAGATTAAGTGCAATTAAAGGTACTGAAAACCCCTTAGGATATATTAGCAGATCAATAGAATCAATAGACTTGTTTAATCCTTGTTTAATCTCATTTTACCCATTTCAAATATTTTATTTTCATTTTTCTTTACTAATTGAAGGTTACAACCTGCATTATAAATGACTGCATAGAATATAGAGCAAAAACTTTGCAATCACATCACTGAATGGCTCAGTAACACATATTAATTAAACCCACGTTCATGGCTCATATTCTCCCCCCTGCAAAAGTGAGAAAAGTCCAGTTCCCTGTACATAATAAAAAAAAGTAATAATAGTTCTCGAATTTTGTACAGCACCATTCACACAGGAAGGATGTCCGCAAAGTACTGTGAAGACTTGGGGTAAATTTCCACATGTATGCGGATGACACCCAACTCTATCTCTCTGCCTCCACCCTCAATTCCAGGATTACTGGTGTCCTGACCAACTGGCTGTCCGACATCAAGTCCTGGACGAGGGACAACTTTCTCCAACTGAACGTCAGCAACACTGAGGCCCTCCTGATTGGCTCGTGCCAGCGCCTCCGCACCTCAGGCGCTGGCAGCATCAGCCTCCACGGCTACACACTCAACCTCACAAAGCCAGTCAGCAACCTGGGTATCTTGTTTGACCGTGAACTGTCCTTTCCCCCTCACATCCGCGCCATGATCGGCACTGCCTACCACCACCTCCGCAACATTGCCAGACTCCACCACTGCCTCACCCCTCAGGCTGCTGAAACCCTCACCCACGCATTCGTCACCTCAAGGCTTGATTATGGAAACTCCCTCCTCATCGGCCTTCCCAACTCTTCCCTTCACAAGCTGCAGATCATCCAAAACTCTGCGGCTCGTGTACTCTCACGCACCAGGCTCCATGACCCCATCACTCCCACCCTCGCCCGACTCCACTGGCTCCCCATCCCCCAGAGGATCAAATTCAAGATCCTCGTCCTGACTTTCAAGGCCATCCATGGCCTTGCCCCCTCCTACCTCTCTGACCTGCTGATTCCCTACCAACCTGCCCGCTCCCTCCATTCAGCGGGCTCCGGCCTGCTCCATGTCTCCCACCTGACCCACACCTCCATTGGTGGCTGGACGTTTAGCCTCTCTGCCCCACAAACTCTGGAACTCCATCCCACAGTCCCTTCACCTCGCTTCCTCCCTTGCCTCCTTCAAGGCCAGTCTCAAGACCCTCCTCTTCGACCGTGCCTTCAGTCACCCTCCCACCTCTCTGCCTTCCCTTACCCCTACCCCACCCCTCCCCCATGCTCGGGTCCTGACCCCTGACTGTCCAGCGCCTTGGGATATCCTCCCAACATGAAAGGCGCTCTATAAATGTAATTTTGTTGTTGTTGAAGGCAGTAACTGTTTTGTAGGTGAATGGGGCAGCCCACTTTCACACAGCCATGTCCCACAAACAGACAAGAAATAAAGTGACCAATTTTATTTGTGAGATAGCCAGGACATTGAGACAAACTCCTGTCTCTTTCCAAATGCGAGATCCATGGGATCGTTAGTATCCACTTGAACAGGCAGATGCGACCTTTGTTTATAGTTTCAGCTGAAGAATGGCACTGAAAACAATGCAGACCACACCCAGCACTGCATTGGAGTGTCAGCCTAGTCTACATAATTTCAAAGTCCTGATGTGGGTCTTGAACCCACATCCTTATTCAGAATGTTACCAACTCAAAGGCGAGACCGACAGACTGATACATACATTCCTCTTACTATTTTTTAAAAAAATCCCCAAAGTTTCACAACATTTTGAAACCGGCTGAGGTCTAATATTGCAGAAATACCGAGGTTAGTTATGCAGTCGTGCCAACCATACTTGTGTGCAGAGGGAATTTCCGGTGCCCCGAACTATATAATTAAAAGAACAACAGAAAGGAAACATAGTTTATGCAATTCATATAATACACAGAGGAACAGAGCAGCTTTCTGCACTCAGAGGGTCATTTGGCCCATCACATCTGTATCCGTTTTTTAAAAATTATCCATTTTTTATTTTCCTGCTTTCCAGCTGTTTCCCCATATTTCATAATTATTTTTATTGCTCAGGTATTTTATTACCCAGTTTACTTTTAAACAATTCTGATTCAACCACAACAAATTACACTTGTATCGTGCCCTTCACGTCGGAAAGACGTCCCAGGGCGCTGGACAATCAGGGATCTGAGCTGGGAGTTGGGGTCAAAAGGGGAGGAGGGCAGGTATGTGCCCACACGTGTGGCTGCTTTGCTCACTGGACTCCCTCACTCTTCCCTACACTGCAGGTTTCTTAAAACTCTGTCGCCCCCTCCTCTCTTGCACGATGCTCCCACAAGCCTATCACCCCCATCCTCACCCAGCTCTATTGGCTCCCCATCCCCCAGTGGGATGAGTTCAAATCCTTATTCTCACCCTAACCCTAATTGGATCCACCTTACCTCTGTGATCTACGTCAACTCTACCGACTTGGCTGCTCCATTTGATCAGGGAATACTAGCCTGTTTTATGGCCCGTGCCCTAACCGTTCTACCATTGGCTGGTGAACATTCAGCCAATCTGCTCCTGCTCTCTAGAAATCTATCCTATACTCCCCCTACCCGCTCCTTCCCCCCCACCCCAGTGCAAGGTTTATCTCATGACGTATCTCATTGACCGTGCTTTTGGTCATATTTCCACTTCCCAACCCCTTTGGGTCCCATCCCCAGCTCAGGTGCCAAGCAAATATTGTCAAGTGCTTTGAGATATTCTTCCGATATAAATTGCATTGTGTTATAATAGTCTACTGCAAGCAAAATCCATATTAGCTTTCAAAAGGGAATGGGATAGATATCTAAAAAACAGTAAACTTCAGGGATATTGGGAAAAAGGCAGGTAAATGGGACTGAAAGGATTGCCCTTTAAAAGTGCCAGCAGAGACATTATGGGCAAAATGACCTTCTTCAGTGCTGTAAATTTCCATTGGTTCTATGTGAGCAGCAAATGCTTATTTTCTGTTCGAACTGCTTTTCTATTCCATACCATATTGTAGCTGCTACTAATATATGTTTCAAGCATCTCATGAACCACAGCAGGGTATTGGCACAGAAGGTTATATTACAGCCGCAATACCCACAACCTCACACATCATCGCTATGTTCTCTATCATCATTTACTTGTGTTCCTTCTTGGACCTGTTCCTCTTATTTTTAAACCACAGCAACATTTGTACCTCATTTAGTTTCTGATAGGAATCAGGTCAGCGCTTGTTTTAGAGTCCCAAGGTTGTCATTTATTTTCAAAACAACACCTTTTTTTTATTATTGAGCTGCAGAAAATCAGCATGAAAACAACAGCAACAACAAATTACACTTGAAAAGCGCCTTTCACGTCGGAAAAGTATCCCAGGACGCTGGACAGTCAGGGGTTTTGGACCTGAGCTGAGAGTTGGGATCAGAAGGGGAGGATGGCAGGGGGGGTTTCGGTGTGGGAGGGTGGCCAAAAATGAAGCTCTTCAGATGGGACTTGAAGGAGGCAAGAAAGAGAGCAAGGTGGAGGGATTGCAGGATAGAGTTCCAGAGTGTGTGGCAGAGATGTTGAATGACCGACCGCCAATGATGGGGCGGGAAGTGCGGAGGACCTGAAACAGGCCGATGTCCACTGAGCGGAGGGAGTGGACAGGCTAATATGGGGTTATGAGGTCGGAGAGGTAGGGGCAAGCAAGACAATGGAGGTTCTTGAAGGTAAGAACAAGGGTTTTGAACTTGATTCTCTGAGGAATGGGGAGCCAGTGAAGTTGGGCAAGAACAGGGGTGATAGGGTCCTGGAACCTGGTTTGGGAGAGAACACGAGCTGCAGAGTTCTGAGTAATCTGCAGCTTGTGGAGGGAAGAGTTGGGAAGTCTAGTAAGCAGGCAGTTTGGCGTAGTCAAGCTGGGACGTAATGAAAGAGTGGATCAGAAGACAGCAAAGAAGAAATGCTATATCATCTTCCTGATACTGTAAACTGTGTCAGAGTTACAAACAATAGGGAGAATAGCAAAATGCAGTGCAGCTGTAAGACCAACATGTTGGCGATCTGAATAGTGAAATGTTTAGGACACAAGCAGTTTGTGGTGAACAATTTTACACAACCGAATGAAGACATGGTGATAGTGGCAGGTCGATGTCAATCTGGATATATTTCTTAGTTATCATGGGAATTTCTTTCCAACTCCTGTTAGTGAAACAGCACCACAGCATAAAAAGGTTGTTAAATGAGCAGAGGGGAAGAAACTCTGAACCCTTAAAATTACTATGAATGGGACAGAAGTCTGAGGGAGGCATGGCAATTATTGATTCGCTATATAATCAATCAATAGGATTTGCAAACCAATAATTTCACTATTCCAAAATGTAGAATATTGCAGATGGATATTTAAAAATAAAGTTTAACA